CTCGTTTTCATTGGTGGCAGATGTACCTGTTGAGACGATGCCATAAGTAAGAGGCGTTTATTTCGGTTATTAGGCAGCTGTGATGCACGGACAAGCGACCAATATTACCACTCATACAGAGTCATATTGCGAAGGGCACGGTATGTAAGAGAACATATACAATGGTTCTTACTACCAGAGACTGCTGTTAATTAGTTCGCGGTTCTCGATCAGTTATTGGAACAATGCGTTTGTACGCTACGAAAGCTACGTATGATACAATTCGAACACCCCAGTCATTTTATTACTCACCAGGTATTATCATGAGCAATAGTAGCAACCCAATAAGAAGGACAGCAGCGCCCAGCGCTGCAAATGATGTTGGATGTTTTCTCCGTTCATGATCGAGCAAGCGAGTATGTTGCACCGGCTTATGACGTTGCGTACTCGCTGACAGAGCTCCATGAATTGTTTGTCAAAAATTTCAAGAGCATACATAAACTATTCCACATTAATGAATGCCATCAACTACAGAGGGTATCGCATGCAGGTAAGCATGGTGAACGAGGAGCACAGATGAGAACGTATGCGCAGTAGAACCCGATCTCACCGGCAGCAAGGATGATGAGCGTTGCAGCGTAAACTGCTGCAAACGAAGTCGTGAAATGAGACATGGCTAATAAAGATGAACTGCTAATCGGACAGCACGTAAGCGACTATTTCGAGAAATTTAGAATTCTGATAGAGACTTTGTTCATTTGCAAAGCCGGTAGAAGGCATAGTAATATACTCGGCGTCTTCGTACGACTAATACCGAAGCGCGCGAAAATGACTAGGGAGAATCTCCAACAAGTGCCTTTTACGACAGAGATTACGGATTTGCAGTTCGAAAATGACTAGCGAGACTCTCCCTAGGGGTGCCTGTACGACACGGATGAAAATGACTAGCGAGTTTCTCCCTACGGGTGCTTGTACGACAATGAAAATGACTAGCGGACGTAAGAAAGGCGGGGGCATCTAGGGGTGCCTGTACGACACGGATGAAAATGACTAGCGAGTTTCTCCCTACGGGTGCTTGTACGACAATGAAAATGACTAGCGGACGTAAGAAAGGCGGGGGCATAGAATATGTCATATTGCGAAACAGAACGTGCAAACCTGACGTCCAGGGTGAGAATTTTTAAAAGGGTCGCTAACAAACGTCCACGTGGAGACTCCCTGTAAAGCTCGCTAGTTCGTTGTCTTCGTCAGTTGCCTTATTGTAACGACATGGCCTGGTAGAGACTTTTGGAGTTGTCTCTTTGTGCCTTTGGCAGCTCATTTCATCAGCTTATGAGCCCCGTCTGATATACGGTGGCATTTATTTTCAGTGTTCTATGGTATAGACGTTCTTTGGTGACCAGCCTTCGAAATGGCGTCGTCCCACTCGTCCTTTCGTACTGTTCTGAGTAAGGAAACTTGTGATGAATGGTTTCATAAGGTGCCTTTCCATCTCGGCGAATTCGATTGCCGAGAAGCTATTGAGCGACCGCTGCCTCGTCCTGGCTCCGATGGCTATGAGGCGGCTAAGAAGAAGGATCAAGTAGCCTTAAGCAAGATGGTTCTCCTTCTGGACGCTCGTGTGCATAAGAATCTCATCCAGAGTAGTAACACAGCAAAGGAGCTCTGGGATGGTTTGAGGAAGATGTACGACGATCTAAACGACGCGGAAGTGGCGTCGCTCGCAGAAGCATTTGAGCAAATCAAGAAGGTAGACAATGAGGCCGTGGACGCATACGTCACAAGAGCGTACGAAATGTATCTGAAGGTCACACGGCACGAGGACTACAAGATGTCAGTTCCATTGGGCATTTTAAAAACCGTACGAGGCTTGAGTGATAACGAGTTTGGTACCGAGAAGCGCGTATTCAGGGCTACTGGGTACCCGAAGACATTTGAGGAGCTAAGGGCGCGCTTGCTGGCAATCAACGCCGAAGCGAATGTTTCTGCAAGGAAGACCGAGTCCGAGCCAGTAGCGGCGTTCATCGCTAATCGCAGTTCCAAGGCACATTTGATATGTTACTCCTGTGGCAACACTGGTCACATCGCCCGCGAGTGCTCCAACGCAAAAGGCGGCACTCCGCAATCTTCAGGCTTCGGTTCTTCCTCTTCCCGTGTACCGCGCTCAACGCCAGCCGACTCAGCGACGTTGAGGTGTGATTGGTGCGGGAAGGACGGTCATGTCGCGTCGCGGTGTTTTCGAAAAAAGGAGGGAAAACCGCGAATTGGTCAAAAGGAAATAGTCGCTCTAACCTTGGTAGCTCGCAAACAAGAATTCACGCCAGGAGACGTGGAACAGCACGCGAATGGAAAACTAGAAGGGTTTTCCTCTTTTGATCACTTTATTCGGCACCGACGTAGGTACATATTCTACGATCCCGTGCATCCGTCCGAGTGGGAGAATGGGTCGCAGTGGTGGCTTGATTCGGGTAGCAGGTACCACATTACGGGGGATAAAAGTGTCCTGCACGATTACACCCCCTTAAGTAGTGATGTTCATATAACTATCGAGGTGGGCAGTGGTCAAGTACTGCCAGCCGCAGGATATGGCACTGTGTACGGGCCAGATAGCTACTATCTGCCTTGAGTACCCCGGTGATACATGTATCAAACCCAAGTGTGCACCCTCAGCAAGGGCGGCCGCGACAAAACACGCGTGCAAGTAGTTGATATGAGAGGCATCAAATGGGGCATTCAGGTTTGTAAAACTAAGTACGCCTGCTATGTTAAGATGTTCCGAGCATCAAAGCATCCAAGAAATGCCTCTTAAGGTTGCATGTCTGTGGTCTCTGCACGTCCACAGGAGCTCAAATCCTGCAAGGAGTGCAACGCTACATACTGCCTGACTTACTACTCCTATGAAGGCAGTGACTATTACTTCATGGGGCCTGGCTTCTCTATTGACGATCACCCGTTCATACACACCCACTCCAACATGTACCACTCACTTGAGACCCTGTACTGGTTTCATAAGTGTAAGTACCACTTCAAAGCGTCCAACAAGAGCATCACCGACATGTACAATGATGTCTACGTTCCCCTTGGCGTGTCTGACCTGTCCCTCCCCGAGAACAGCCAGAAAGTCGGGGAGGCCTGGATGTTGTATTGAATACTTGTGCGCTGCCTTGCCTGTGCGGAGACCTACATTTATACACCCAACCGAGACGTCGAAGGGGGCGCTGGGCACAAGGAGCAGGTGCATGCCGAGGTAGAGCTGGTTGTACAGCGTGGCCTCCCGCATCACCAACACGAATGTCAGAGTGTTGGGTGCGGTGGTGCCGTGACTACCTACCAGCAAGGCCTTGGCGACAACCAACCGCTTGGTAGGGAGCAGGGCGCGGGATTACCAACCTCAGGGGAGGTTTCACTGATACTGAGATTGATAAGGCCTCTGCTTCCCACGTGTGCCCTTTACTGTAACTTACATGCCGTGCCTCACAAGTCGTACCCTTAATATAGTGTATGTGTCCCCACTGCCTGTTTATCAGGTGAGGCTGTTGAGGTAAACCCTCACGTGGTCATGATGGATGCCAACGCCAACCTGAAGAAGCACATCTGTGCAGCACACAACTGCATGGGTCGCCCTGTGCATAGCAAGGCACGCTTTTGTGCGGTCCACGCAAACCTTGAGGGGGTTTATGCAGCGCTTTTGCGGAAGGGTGAACAGGGTCGCGAGCCTGAGTGCTGCACGAACGCCTGCATTCCGACCCCGGGGAGTCCCCAGACGCTTTCGAAGTTTTGTGGCCTTCACCAGGACATTGCCCAGCAAGTCGCCAATGTTGGCTATCATTGCCGGGTGGCGGGGCGGGTACGATTGGGGGGCGGCGATGATGGCGTGATGACGACGAAGACGATGGCAATGACAATGAAGAGCTCGGTGAGGAGGATCACCTAGGCTCTGATACCAATTGAAAGGGAACCAGGCTGCTCCTAACAACTGGGAAGTGCAAGCTGACTTTACTGGCCGATATACTTGCATAAGCACAGAAGATCGGGCTTTCAATTTCAACTTAGACTTACAATGTTCATGAAATGGTCTGCTTAAATAGTCATATTAGCACGCCATAACCTCACACAGCCATACGACATGGTCTCAGAAGCGCGCGCTAACGAACTGCAAAACCTTACAGATTGGGTATTCCATGGATACTAAGTCAATAGGAGATGCTCGGAAAGCAGTTTCCAATAATTGTTGGCTTCAAATTTGATGTGAAAAGAGTTTTCCGTACTACGAGGGCTTTTCCGTAGAAAGGGCATTTCCCTGGAAACGATGCTGTTTCCTGGGAAACAGATAGGTGTTTCCGAGCTATGCACTCAAGTGGCTTGCGGCCTATGTGGCTTCGTCTGTCTGAGCAATGCAATGCAGCTATTCATACGCACAAGCTCACTCAGGCCTCATCTAGTTCTTATTAGTATTTGCTTATTACTTAGCCCATGTACTAGTGTGCGCCGGGTATTCCACAAAGACATGCATTTCGTCTTCAACTGCCCCGCAGTCACAAAGCCTGCAGGTGCACGCTGTGCACTCATGGCCGTTAGGTTGGTTAATCTCTAACTCCCAACAGCCTAACCGGAAACGTCTAAGCATTTGATGCAAACATTGGGGCATGGCGATTTCAGGTGGTAATTATGGATTTCAGCACAAACAATGAACCCTGCCTGCTCCCCCGCGCCCGTTGCAGGCAAGCAATGGAGAATCAGGTGAGAGACCAAGCTTTCTATTAGGGCCTGGTGCCGTAATAGAAAGGGGTAGGGTCTGTGCAGGGTTTCCGGGTTTCCTCGGTCTTCTTGAACCTTCACCCCAAGGGCCAGTCTTCTTGTGTGTTTCAGGCTCAGTGCTCAAACTCGTGTGACGGAGCCTTGACCCCAGGGGGAGGAAAGCAGAACTAGTGGACCTGCGGCTCTCGGCTGCTTAGGAGGAGACAGAGGCCCCTTACGCCCCTCTCCTATCTGCGGGAGGAGTTTAGGTGGTCTTTCCGTTGGGGCTGGGCAGCAGTCCCTGGCCAGTGTCAGGCATGGTCAAATACTTGCAACACATGCACACACACACACGCACACACACACACGCACATGCACATGGCACACGCACATGCACACACACACACACATGCACACACACACACACCACACACACACACACACGCGCGCGGGCGCGCACAACCTCAGGATATTGAATTGAATTAAACTGTTACAGAGTGGGAGGCTTCTGGGCCATTTGAACATATTGTCACACAAGCTCACGATATGCCAGCTGAGCTGATTCCCGTGCCTCGAATGCCCTGGTTAAAACCTTCTTGCGGACATAACCCAGCTCAGACAATGCACGGCTAATATCAGGGCCGCTCCAAAGAGTGCCCAGTAAGTTTGTCATAGCGGTGGCCAGATCGGAGAGCAATGCTTGGTCGTCGGCCTGCACCAGCTCCACCAGCGTCTGTGCAGCGATCTCATCAAACTTGCATGGTTTGCGTGTTCCTGTTTGTCCTCTAAGCGGCAGGACATCGCCATTCGCCACGTAGGACTGTATGATAGCATGCACAGTCCTCTCGCAAGGTCTATGCCCGAAAGCTTCAGCTATTTGCGCTTGCGTGTAATTCTCGTCGAAATAGAGGTGGCAAACACGTTCGCGCACTTGTTTGCTGTAGTAGTAACGGTTCAATACTTCTCCCCTTGTGAGATCTACAAACTGAGTATGCATACGTACGTATTCGCGTATATAGAATATCATAATAGAAATTTTGCGTGTTCCTTGCGACTTGCAACATGCTACTTGCGACTTCAGAAGTACGCAAGACTGCACTTCGCCTCGCATCCCGCAATTTGTTATGCAAGCAGCCATAACCAGGATTCATACGGCATAGCTTGTTGGGGTCGGTCGGCACGCAGTCCTGGGGGCCCTGACTCGAAGTCAGCCCCACCCTGGAGTTAGTTGGTACCGCTTTCATGTACTTCCTCAAAGATACTGCTTCTCTAGTACTGTGGTGTTTTATTTCTTATATTCAAGAAAACTGAACTGAACTTGCAAGGCGCCACCACAGTTGCCGGTGCCATGAAAGCGCAACCGTCCCGGGACACAGGCTCAGGCACAGAAATAGACTTAAAGGGTTACAGAAAACATAGCTGTAAGCGGAAATAAACAAAGCCATGGAGTTTGTCCTGGACCCGAGCCATCTGCTTGCATCGCGAAAACCACGCGTCGCGCGACGCAATGCCAGTAAAGTTTGCCATCGTCACAAAACAGCAAAGCAAAACACATATTGGTAAAACAAACAAAAACGGGGATAACGGCTCGCCGGTCAACACCCTCGCTCGCGGTTCAGTTTCTAAAAACACAAAGGGGCTAATGTCTCAACACAGCTACCAAACATACACACCGCTATATGACTACTCCACAATAACATAATAGTCGAAGCTGGTCAGCGAGGAGCACTCAGCCGGCGGAGACGGGCATCGGCGCGGGGACGGCTGGCATGGCTGGAAGACGATGAGGACTACTGTGTTATTGTGGAGTAGTCATATAGCTGTGTGTATGTTTGGTAGCTGTGTTGAGACATTGGCCCCTTTGTGTTTTTAGAAACTCAACCGCGAGCGAGGGTGTTGACCGGCGAGCCGTTATCCCCGTTTTTGTTTGTTTTACCAATATGTGTTTTGCTTTGCTGTTTTGTGACGATGGCAAACTTTACTGGCATTGCGTCGTGCGACGCGTGGTTTTCGCGATGCAAGCAGATGGCTCGGGTCCAGGACAAACTCCATGGCTTTGTTTATTTCCGCTTACAGCTATGTTTTCTGTAACCCTTTAAGTCTATTTCTGTGCCTGAGCCTGTGTCCCGGGACGGTTGCGCTTTCATGGCACCGGCAACTGTGGTGGCGCCTTGCAAGTTCAGTTCAGTTTTCTTGAATATAAGAAATAAAACATCACAGTACTAGAGAAGCAGTATCTTTGAGGAAGTACATGAAAGCGGTACCAACTAACTCCAGGGTGGGGCTGACTTCGAGTCAGGGCCCTCCGGGCGTCTTGCGGTTGGCACGGATAGTACGCTACGTGCGCGCGCACTTTCTTATTGGATCAGGACATATTATTGACATATATCTGGGTGACTTTGCTGTTCGTTTTCGAAGTGCTCTGCCTAAAATTGTCTTGGAGAGCCTTCGGACCTTCCCGAGAAGGCATGGGATCCGCGGGATACGTCTCCCTGAACGGCCGTCTCCTTTGGGGTTGGGGAGGGCTCCATCATACGCCTACATACGTTGTTTTCATCAACCCCAAACCAAACAGGCGCGGATGGACGATCTAGAGGATGACGAGGCATTCACGGTGTCTCCGAAGGAGCTATTGGTGTCGTCCGTGGGTGGCAAGGTCGTCGGTAACATCTTTATCAAGGACAACCGTTCCGGCTCTATTTCCGTGTGGGATAAGGGCAAGCGGAAGCCAGCACCCAACTTCTTCTTCTGTTCGCCATGCAAGCATGGTGCGGTCCCGATGAGTGCACCAACCGCCATCACCGAAGCAGAGGATGTGCCACCCCGCATCAAGTCGCGTGGTGCTACTGGTAAGTGACGACGTGAGATGTGTGGTAGGGAATAGTGGCCAACCTAGAAAGGAGGAACCCACCTCACCCGACCCACCCAATGGCATAATGTTATACATACCGACGTCTATGATACATCATACCATATGACAATAGATATGCCCCCCTTGTTTTACAACCCTGTATAGGCGAGTTCAAAACAAACTGGTCAGAGCTATGCATGCTGCATCAGCGGCGGCATCAGGGGGTGGTTCATCGGTGCTAAGGCTGGCAACATCGAGAATATTATCAACCACGTCAAAACACGCCAGCACATGATGGCGTGCAAGCAAGAGACACAGCGGCTCACCCAGCAGGGTGGCCTTGTTGCACGGCCCATGCCACCACCTGGAGTGCGAGATGTCAGCTGTGCCTGGCCACCTGACATGCGCATGCATCTGTATGGCATGTCGGATGAGGTGGAGGAGGAGGAGTATCAGCACCTCTACAGCCAGTTTCAGCACAGGTGCACACGTCGGCGAGAGCAGCAGCCCAATGCCTTAGACAATGGGCACCGTGTCTCACCGCGCACTTCACCCACTCCTGCACCTGGAGTGCGCACTGTTGGTCCCAACATGGATCCGGAGGCACAGCACATCGTCAGCCCCGATGCGGGCCCATGTACGGGCTACATCCAAGGGCAGCAAGCCGCCAATCCCAATGTTGGACATCGCATCGGTGGCGCTGGCATCACAGGCCTGCCGCCACGGGGACCCCCCTCTCTCGTGCACTGCCGACCCAGCTGCAGCAGCAGCAGGATGATGCCGCCCGGGGACGCATGCCATCTGGTGGTGTGTGGGACTTGGGCGAGATTGACACCACGGGTGGCCAGGGGCCCATGGTGTCGTGGAAGTGCAGGCGGTGTCAGAACAGACATAGCATCATTAGGTGCTGTGCGTGTGGGTCCTTTGCGAGGCCACAGCTGACAGAGGGTGGAGGGAAGTGTTACACATGTGAGCAGTGTGACGACTACGACTTTGGATTCCAGTGAGTTGCATGACAAGCTGAGTTGCATGACAAGCTTCACTTGTGTGACACATGGTTTGTGCTGACCCAGTTTGTGTGTATTGATGTACAGGTCAGCAGAGATGGCACTTCTTTTAAGGGCAGAGCAGGTTGTCCAGGGTAGTGGTTCACAGTTTCGACAGATGGCCAACTCACTGCTGGATATTCAAGAGAGGCGCCTATATAGCTGCCTGGGATTTGGGTCGTTCGTGCAGTATGTGTCTGAATCGGGACGAATAGATATTGCACCGAGATATGCACAGGCTTTGGTAGCGGCTGCTCATTTTTTGCGGTTGCTTTCTGCCACAGACGTTGTGCCTAACAGTGAGTGCCAGGTACGTCCACTTACAGCTCTGCCACCTTGTGATGCGCTAGGGGCATGGCGCCTTGCTGTGGCACACTCTGTAGCCGAGTCACGACTCCTGAGTGGGCGGCTCGTTGAGCAATGTGCATTGGAGGTCACAGGCAGGACTGGCAGCGACAACAGCAGCAGCGACATGGATATCAGCGATAGCGAGTTTGGTGAGGGAGTCAATATGGTTCAAAGTGGAGGGGGTGGGAATGTGCGCCTGTTTCTCTCCAGTGAGAGTCTGGAGTGGTTCACCCCACTGAGTATCATAGAGCTGGTGCGCGAGGTGTTCACTCCTGGCAGGATCAACCTGGACCCATGCTCGTCCGCGGCTGCTAACACACGTGTTGGGGCGACAGTGTATTACGATATGGAATCTGATGGTCTGTTGGAGTGCAACACGTGGATGGGCAATGTGTTTGTCAACCTGCCTTTTGGGGTGCACGGTGGTGCAAGCTATCAGAGCCTGTTTTTCCAGAGATGCGCAACAGAGTACACGGCTGGTCGCATTCACCAAGCAGTACTGCTGCTGAAAGCTGCTGTGGGTTATGCGTGGTTTGATGCCATACTACAATGGCCTGTCTGTTTTCTGCACCAACGTTTGGCGTTTGTGCGTGGGCAATCTGGGAGTCAACAGCAGGAGGGAGGACCCCTGACATGGGGAGCGCGGGTAGCCAATCCACACGGAAGTGTCGTGGTTTACATGGGCCCAGACGTGCAGCGTTTTGTGTCAGTGTTTGGTTGCATGGGCGGAATACCGGGGGCGACTTCATGGGCCATGCCCCGCCCAGCGGAGAGCTCGATGGATTAAGGCATAGATTGCATATGGTGAACGTATTCTTCTCGGCAGACATCTGCATTTTCATTTGTTTTCAATGTAGCTCGTGGTACTGAGTTTAGCGGTTTATCAGAGATTTGTCATTGTTTCCACCCGAACCTATTCATGCGTACGAGTGTTGTGGGATAAACTGGACGGACTGTCGATAAAGTGTGGTGGGAAAACAGTGGGACCTCGGCAGCTGACTTGACTGGGTAATGCAGTCGTGGCCCTGAGTGCTTGCCTCCGGTAGTAGTAGTAGTACCAGAGTACAGTAACCAGGTATGCAAGTTGTCGTGGGATCGAAACTAATACGCACATGAGGCACTTGTAAGTGGTCCTCTTGCAAAGTTTTTCTGTAAATTCCTTAAAAGTCATGTGCTTTTGGATGCCAGCCCCAGCCAATCCTGCCAACTTGACAGCCAATTCGACACCCTGTCAGGCTAATTCGATACCCTGTCAGGCCAATTTGACAACCCGAACAGGTCAATTCGATACCCTGTCAGGCTAATTCAATACCCTGTTAGGCCAATTCAGCACCCGGACAGGCCAATTCAGGCCCAGCACAGCCCAATTCCGAGGCTCCACAGCGCAATTCGAATATTGCCAGAACAATTCCAGACCTCGGCAGAGCAATTCTTTTGTCAGGAATAAAATCCAGGCTAATTCTGCGACAGAGCTCTTCCCTAATTCCAGCCCGAATCCTACCCTCCTCTCCACAGCTGTGTTTGTTCTCCGGTGACGCTAGCGCTCTCACGAACTTCATCTGCGTGCTCCCTTGCTCCGGTGACACTAGCACTTTCACGAATTTCATTTGCTCCCTGGCTTGGTCCGGCGACTCTAGTGCTCTCACGACTTTCATTTGCTCGCTCGCTTGCTCCGGTGGTGCTAGCACGCTCAGTAAGGCATCCTGTCTATACTAGTGGAGCTCTTTGTTTGCTCTGTATTCAAGCCTTGCCGACTACTCTGAGGCTCGTATAGGACTACCTCATCATCAAGTTCAAGTGGGACGAGCATGCGCGGACTGAGACACAATTACTCTTTGCACAACCGCTGCACAGCCACCCTCGGAGGTCGGTTGAAGGGAAGGTGTGCCAAGCCCCGTCGTCTAGCATTTCCAGCCCATCCATCCGTCTCTCCCCTCACGCACCCAACCCCTACACTCGCATACCCGCCACTCTAGCCATGCACCCACACCTCCAACCCGCCACAAACTTTCCATTCCTCAATCTGCACACCTGTCCATCCACCCATGTACTGTCCCTCCATCCCTCGTACTGGTGTGCTACGTGTCACTTGAATGAAAACCACGACATACATCTGCTGCAAGGGGAAGTCCTCTGCCTGCTGTAGGAAGGAAACCCGTAGGCACTCCCTGTAGGGGAAAACTGGAGCATCAACCACTACCACGAGCTGCGCCCGCTACTATTATTACAGCTGCTGCAGCTGTCGCCAAGCCAGCAGCACATGCAGCTCTGGATGTAAGGGCCCAGCCCGTCCACTGGCACTGCTGCCCCAGCGGCAGCTGCTGTGCGTGGGCACCCCGTTACGCTTGCAGCACCAGTCCTAAACCCCGCCAACCGCCACCCAGCCTTCAGCTTCGGCGTGTCGGTCGCTGCTGCGCAGTTATTCTCGCGGGATGGGTTGCCGTTTACATTCGCAAAGCTAACAAAGGACCTTTGAAGGCGGTGCACCGGCTCCACGTGCATGCACTACAAGGAGAGCCATTCACACATTCGATTTGAGTTTCATACAGTCTGAATAGTATAGCCTCTCCCCTCAAAGGTACGCTGAAATTGTAGGCGATGTTGCGGATGTTGTGAAATATAAGGATTGGGGCGCAAAACTTCATTTGCACCGCGTCAATAAAGGTTGCATCTTCTACAGCTATCACATCGAAGGGGGTAATTGGTTAAAGCTTTGTCCGTTGGTTCTGCGATGCATGCCCAAACCGAATGAATCCGCCGATTGGCGCCCTAAACAGTTTATTTTGACAAGAGTATATGGAGGGGTCCTGAGGACGTTTGCAAGGCCTTGCCGAAACCTCGCCTTAATGTGACAACAAGCCTTGTGGCAATCGACTTCCATGCAATTTTCAGCAAGACTATTCCATAATGAACCTCTATAATTGGGGAGCCAGCTCATCCCATATCTAGGCGATGCATGCCATTGTCATTTGCCGCAGGGCCCATCTGAACTTGCCCGAGCGTTAAACGATGGCTGCACGAGATGCTGTGACCCTGGAAATTATTCGGATGCAATGAAACTGATTCCTCTTTCCTATTTTACAGAATATTGGAAAAAAATTTTTAATGTCCGCCCGACAGGCTTCAGCTGGCATCGCCGAAAATCGAACGGTAGAAGCCTACATGTGTGTGTAGCCTCGATGCAATAGAGTATTGAAAAGGTTATGGCGCGCCTTGTAGGGCATTGGTTCACGCACCGTGACGAGGAACCTCAGCTCTTCGGGGGAGAGAAACGAGAACGCAATGATGAGCGATGAGATTCGGTCTGAGGTGCGACGTATCGTGCCAACTTTGACAGGTACATAAGCGGTTATCTCGTACCGTGATTGCGCTGGCATAGCCACCGAAGTTTTTTTGTCACAGATGACAGATTCAAGGGACAGTCAGGCAAGGTTGCTGTTTTGGGTGGATGCTTCGAATACACCGGTGCACCGTACTTCGCTGCGTTGGCTGCGCTGGCGGTAAGCAACGCCTACTGTAATATGCACCTGGCTGTAGCAGCAATTCAGCTTGTGTAGGCCATATACACCACTACCAAACGCTTGTGCACCGGTGGTCTAGCGCCCGTGAAATTGGCGTGCGGCCACTGTAGCCTCCATCCTGCTAAACGGGCACATGCATGCGTGATGTTAACCGTTTCGCAGGTTGGGGCCGACCTATCCCACGTCTTCTGTTCCACAAGTGCTGCCCCTATTATCAAGCAGTATAGCCCCGACCTCCTTGTGCATCCTTACTTTCTTCAACGCTCGGATTTGCTGCAGCACGTAAAGGTGATCTCCTGGATTGGATGTACATGACGAGGTCATCTGTTCGCGAAATGGATGCCGCTGCCACATGATGCTGTACAAGACCAAACTGTTGCTTCCATCACCAGGAGCTAGAGCAGGACTTTTAGTAGGTTGGCATCAGCCAGGCGGCTATAGGCCATCGCCTGAAACAGCGCTTGGCTCGGCTAGATACAGGGTGCCTGGACATGTTCCTTGCCCGGGTATTTTCGGGGCCTCGAAATGGTGTCTTCCTGACGCGGGTTGGCAGGTTCAGGTTCAGGGCTTTTGTAGTCTGTGTTGTTTACCCCACCGTTCCCCGCCATTTCACGTTCCATCACTTCATGCAAGAGAACATCAGCATTTCATGCATTGGAGCGGGTGGTTTCACTTAACAGTGTTTTTGCTTAACGGGCTATTTCTCCAGACGGGGATCCAGCGGCAAGTTGCAACACCTGGGCCCATGGGTGGATTTCATTCGGCACACATGGTCCCCAGCGAGGAGGCGGAGGTTGCAGCTCAGACCGCGGCAGCAACGGCCCATGTTGCAGAGGCCACAGTGGAGGTGGAGAGCTGGTTCAATCGGCTGGATTGCCTCGTCGTGGGTCCAGGGCTGGGACGTGATCCGCTGCTTCTCGACATTGCACGTTCGGTCATCCTGCGTGCCAAGGCTGCTAAAATGCCGCTGGTATTGGATGGCGATGGGTTGTTCCTGGTGGCTCGGGAGCCAGAGCTAGTTGCTGGTAGGTTTGCCAAACTACTTTGCAAGACAAGGAGACAGCAATGCACTGCTCGTCTAGGTCCACATTCTAGCACCACGTCCAAGAGAAATTGAGTGTCGAGGTGCACATTGTGTCCGTTACATCTATGCTTCATCCTGGAAGGGTACCATACGGGTACAAAGTTAACTCAGTGACTAGATGTCATACGCTGGTTAAAAAACATACCACCATTCGTCCGTCAATAGCCTCTAGGCTGGGTGGATGGGTACATTACTTTTTCTACCCTTCCTCCAAAGCTTTTAGCATCTTCACCTCTCCTGCAAGCCTTGCCCCTAAATGTTGCATGCAAAGGCCTTTTACTAGCGGCCAGAGCCCACTAGCCATTGCCCACATGGTTCCAAGGGAGCCTCCCGTGTGGTCATCATACATTCTCGACAGGTTATACCAACTGCGTTTTGACCCCGAATCTGAATGAGTTCCGGCGACTGGCATCTACTATGGGTGTAAGCCTGCACGGCCCTAACAACGATCGCTCATCGAAGCTGTTGGAGGTCACAGCGCACCTGCGGGGCCCCACGTTGGTGTCCAAGGGTCCGGTGGACGCAATCTGCGACGGCAAAGTCACAATGATCTGCAACGCGAGTGGAGGTGCGACCTTCGAGTGTAACTGTGCCCCAGCGAAGATAACTGTACCCTTCCAAAGTGGGCTTGCTCTGTTAAGTATAGGGATCATTATTGTTAAATAATAAGGACATGTGCCCAGGCGCACTCCCGGCCACGGTATTGACTGCTCCGGACGTCGAAATTTTCTGTGTAGTACAGGCAGCAATGTCTGCTCACACGAGGGTTAGACCCTAACCCTAACCTATCACTGTTGGTAACAATGTTGTTAGACTTTGTTTGTCTCGCGGGGTACTAATGTAGTGAAGGCATAGGATCATCTGACTTTTGGGTGGGAATAAAGGTGCAGGATAGTACGCCTGTGTGACAGGTAGAACTGTGTCTCGGATCTACACCGTAGTTTGTTTCTTCATTGGCACCGGCTCTGTCCCAGGCGAGCTCTATGCACCACACCCTCGCCCTTAGGACCTGCTATACCAAAGTATGCTCACATTGTTCTCTTCATTGTTTCCATTCATTAGTTCATTGTTTAAAGCTGAAACTGTTTGTGCCGCACCGCGTAAGCGCCCTTCTGAGTAATAAAATATTAAGATCCCTGGTGTGTCTCCATCCTTGGCCGTTTCCTGCTATTGGTCAAAACGCCCTTGCTATGTCAGCGTCCATAATGTTTTTATCAGGATGCGTTGTACATACAACTGAAAGTCTGTAAAGACGAAACACTTCCGAAGCTTGGCCGCGTAGCCGCTAAGTCCTCGACGCCAGCAAGGTGCTCTAATGCAAACGAGCCCCCAGCATTTCATGAAGCTTAATTGCAGGCCGATCGTACTTTCAGGCATTAAAGAAGTCAACTTCATTGGCCTGATGGTTTCCAATTGAACATACCAGAAGGGTGGTGATGATGATTTTGGCAGAAACAAATGTGGGAATGCCATTAGTGGCTTTGCCTGCGTTCTCACATTGGGCTAAACTTTGGGACCTGTTGGCTAAGAACAAATGCCTGCGAACCCCAGATGGACAGGCCAACTTTCCCTTACGTCCTGGAGCTGTTTCGTTATTCCTGGTACATACATTTGATGGAGGAGTCCGGGAAATGTATGTGCTCGCTAGCTGTATTACTGTTTGTTTTGGTAGCAGTAACAGCAAGCCACCGTGGCTTACAGATAACTACCCCCTGAAACCACGTGTGTACGTGTGCCAGAACCGATGCTCCACCATCTGCATGGTCGTCGTGCTTGCTGTTCCCAACAAGTGTCAACGTCTGAGCACTATCCCCCGGCTCAGCCGGCCCCGTGCATGATTTCTGGTCAAGGCTATTATATTCCGCATGGAGTACGTTTGTTAGGCCCAGTAACGCTTTGTTTGGATTTGCGACTTGGTTCTGACGGGTTTTGGACTACAGGTGTAGTCGCCTTGAGGGCCAAATGACTGGCGTTAGAGCGCCATGCGGCCGATTTAGTAGGACTTTATACCGGATAGCATGGGCACTACAACATTTCCTGCACGGCTGAGGTTGGCAGTCAGATCAGGTGCTGAGACGGTTTCGGAGGACATGTTGAGAACATGTTAAGAAAGTGTAACCCATGTAGGTGGGTGTGCACTTATTACGTGCTTTCAGCAGACCTTCCGCAAGCGTAAAGGGCAGCAGCATACAATAAACATGAATGCAAATCAAGCGGTCTTGAGCAAAGGGCTGCACTCAGGCGGCCCGATGGCATGATAGCTGAACGACATAGACTAAATGCGTAGACAATAAGCTGAAATATGGATTTGAGCCTGTTCAGCAAATTTGTGCTCCGGAACCGTATGGCAGAGCGGGTCCCCAGGACACCGAAAAAATTAATCGTCTGTCCAGAAAATGATGTCCCGACCCCCACCAGAAACTGTAGGATAATGTAACTTAACATCTTGTTTACAGGAAGACTGGAAGTGGAGATACGTTACCGACTGCATTAAGAAACTCTTTCAGTGGTACCCAACCAATCAATTTAGGGGTGAAATTTTAAGTTGTAATGGGGGTTGCAGAACGAAATGGCCGACCCTAATTACGTCAACCGCCTTAACACTGGAGTTATGGTCTGATCAGGTTATTTAAATATGACATACCTGCTCATAGATGACATACATGGCACTAGAGTGGTGAGGCAGCGCTGACCGCCAAGGCCTGAAATACAGTTAGGTAAAACGTTGTTAGCAGCTACACTTACCCCTACCACATAGACTTGCCCGGTTACCAGGCAATTGTGGCCGTTAACGGGGTATGCGGAGACTGATTACTGGGGGTCGTTAATGGAGGTGGTTACGATTGGGTTACCGGGTTGATCGTTACTGGGCAGTAACCGGGGCTGGTTACAGGTTTGAAGACTATCGTTTTTCGTATTAATTTACAGCAGCAAGGACAGCCCACTATGGCCGGTACTCAGCTCAGTGTCTTTTTTTTTAAGTAATATATTCCTTAAAAGTAATAAACAGGCCATTTTGGCGTTTGGAAAAAAGGAATGAACTGAGGCCGATCCTCAAAGCCCTCAGCACTCCTCCTCTGGCGATCTAAGTGATGCCCAGCACTGTGCTGCGTAAGCATGATGCTGCGGTTGCGGCGGTCCTGAATGATCTCCATGCCGATGTAGTAGCGCGCCTCTCCAAGGTCTCGTACTGCGAAGCAACCAGCTATGGCCGCCTTGGCGGCCGCGACCAATTGCAGGTTGTGTGCCGCCACCAGCATGTCGTCAACGTGCACGAGCACATAAATTGAGCCGTCGGACCCGCGCTTGACGAATAGTGCGGGGTCGGACATAGACGGCTCATAGCCTAGCTTGCCCAACTCCGCCGCCAGTTTCTCGTACCAGCAGCATGGGGCTTGCTTGAGGCCGTAGACGGACTTTAACAGCTGGCACGCCTGCGTCGGGTCGCCGTTGCTGTAACCTGGTGGCTGTCACATCCACAGCTCCTCTGCCAGGTCGCCGTTTAAGAAAGCCGTTTTGACGTCCATCTGATGGACCGTCATACCCCTGGCCGCTGCCACAGCTAGAAGTGCCCGCAGGGAGGCTGCACGCGTGGTGGGCGCAAACAGCTCTCCATAGTCTATGCCGCGCGCTGTTCGAAGCCCTTCACCACCAAACGCGACTTATAGCGTACCTCACTGCCAGGCTCCTGTTTGATCTTGTAAACCCAGTGGCAGTCCAGGATGCGTGCACCGGGCGGCGGCGTGCCCGACTCCCATGTTTTGTTGGAGAGCTGCGACAGGATCTCGTCATCCATCGAAGTCTTCCACTTGTCAGCTTGCGGACTTGCCACCGCTTCCTCATAATTGCGCGGCTCCTGCACCGCGCTGTTGCCTCCGCCGTCCACACTGCCGTCGGGCATGTTAAGCTCCTGCACTGCGCTATTGCCTCTGCCGTTGGCACTGCCGTCGGGCACATTGTCGGGCACATTAAACTCAGCGCGATCGGTGCTACCCGACGCTTTGTTAAGCAGCGGTGGACTACCCAAATCTCCGCCGCCGCCGCTGCTGTTGTTGGCCAGGCTGACCGGGGCCAGTGGCGGGTGCAGCGGTTGCCGTTGACTGCGAGTGTTAGGGTGGAGGGGGGGTGCTGGGTTCACTGGGGGCGGGGCATCCACTTGAGTTGGCGGTGTGGCAGGCTGTGTTGAGCCACCGCCAGGGTCGCTGCCGCCAGGACGGGTGGGGCTGGTGCCGAAGGGGGTGCCCGCCCGTTGAGATGCCGGGCCACGGTGGTCGTCATCGAAGGTGACGTCGCTGCTAACAGTCGCCTTGCCTTCAACAAGGACGCGGTGGGCGGCCGTGTTGCGCTCCGGTCCAAGGTAGGTTCCCGCCTTCGTGTGGGGACCGAGCTTATCCTGCTGGCTGGCTGGGATGCGGACGTAGGCCAGGCAGCCAAAGGTGTGCAGGTGACTGACGTCGGGGGTGACGCCATGTTAAGCTGCCCATGGCGTGGCCTCCCGGCCCTGAGAGGGAGCCACATTGCGCAGGAGGTTGGTGTAGAGCACAGCCTCCGGCCAATGGCATCGTACAGCATAGCCCGCACACGGTCGAGGAGCGTGCAATTGAGCTGCTCCGCTGCTCCGTTCTGCTCCGGGGTGTACGATGCCGAGTGGGTGTGCACAGTGCCGTGCTGGTGTAGCCACTGCTCCAGTTGCTCGGCGACATACTCACCACCGTTATCACTATGAAGTGTGTGTACCCGTGCATGGTTCGGGTGGCGAGCCTCCAGCTGCGTCACCATGTCCTGCAGCGCTTCGCCCACTTGGTTTTTGCTAACCATGCTAACCAGCATGCGAACAGAGGCGGACAGACCGGAGGCACCGTCCAGCGGTGTTAGCAAGTAACGTGCCCCACCTCGGCCCGTGGTCGGCATGGGCCCTGTAGTAGCTGGTACACAGTATGGTGCTTTATATACGGGTGGAGCGCGATTTCTAGCATCTCGTCAGGCCTTTTCAGCGGCCATCACAGGGTGGTACAGTCCGATCGGGTCCCGACAGGAATGGCACTTGTGCTGAAAATCCCGACAGGGTTTGGAAAATGCTGTCGGGCGGACCCGACGAAAAAGGGGGAAAGCGCCAAACGGCCATCGGGAGCCCTCGACGAGGCCCGGAGGGCTCCCCTCAGGGAACCCGACAGGGTTAGGGGCGCTAGGACCGCCCGATCGGGTGCCGTGGGTCGTCGGTTGGCCCTCCGGCGACGGACAGCTACAGCGATACATAATGGCATTCATACAAATATAACTGGATGGAAATATGTAATGTAGTGGTAACATTCGTTCACTTCGTTGCCTCTTCTTCTTTATCCTTTGACTCTGCTGTACAGGGATCCGTGCTTGGATACATAAGTGAAGGGCACACTACCTTATCTCGACCTTATTGACAAGTAATACAAAGACCATATGCAGCTTTACATTACCCTTTTAAACGTTTGCTGCCTCGTCCTGTAAGTCTGTGGGCTTTACCAAAACAGCGCTCTCAAGCTGAACCTGCTCGACCGTTGGCTCACAGGGAGACGTGCAGGCGTGCATGTG